TTTCAAGAGCCTTATTTTATATCAGTTATGTGCTATAAATATTGAGCAGCAATGAGTTCATGCATTTACCTTAATCACCTGAGATGATTAAATTATCAATATAAAACAAAACATATCATTACATCCTTCCAAATCCTAGTTCATGTAATTTAAGGGTAACGCAGCATTGTTAAAAGCAAATAAATGTTCATGTCAAACAAACTGGGTGGGATCTGAGCTCCACTATTTACTAGCTGTGTGACTTAACTTTTGTGTACCTCAGAGCATAACCTGTAAAATAGGGATGAGAAAATACATATCTTGGAAATAATGTATGAGATAATGCTTGTAATGTGCTTGTTTTATTAGTGCAGTGGTTGAGATATACCAAGTGCTCAATCAATGTTAGTTATTATATTACACTAAACTACATGTGACTGTATATATATAAGCCTATAACTAGCTGGCTCTACCTTCATGTGACATGTCTGCTACTGTTGATTTCCCATCTCTGCAGTGCAGTTTTTTAGTTTTATTTCTAATAACATAAAATACTTGGCATCCTGTAGTCCAGTAATGCTAGTTGTTTGACATTTGGCAAGTTGAAAGTAATTCAGAAAATCCTAATGGTCCAGCACCTGTGGCTAGCACATTTGCTATGATTAGTTTCATAGTGCATGGGTGATGAGATTTATTAACTTGGAGATTCCTCCAGACATGGAAGAGAGAGGGAGAAAAGCCTAAAAGTAAATTACTCTGGCATCAAGCTAATTATTACATAACAAAATTTGTTGAATTGGCTCGGTCCAACTGTCATTAGATTGCTGCAGAAGCAATAATATAGAATATACTGAATAATTTATATCAGGGGGAAAAAAAGCAACACCTATGCACCAAAGATCCCTGTGATTCTCAGATCTCCTGCTGTCTTAATTTCAGCTACTATTCTACATTGGGATGTTGATATTACTGAAGATAAGCCTGGTAATCCTAGCTCTGGTAGCTAAAGATGCTTTCAGATAGAATTATCTGATTAGTTAGCATGGCTATAGCATAGCAGTTTTAAGTGAACATTTAAAAAACATTTTTACCAATACAGTAATTTATTTAATTCAGTGAAAAATTTTTATTAAGGTAATACCAGTCTATTGTAAATGAAGAGTTATGCTTTTTGAAATGTCACACTATAATGATATAGGGCAATGAAGGATTATTCATCTATTTAATTTTTTTTTTTTAACCAATTGGTTCCTGGTTCCTGATCGGACCAAGGAAGAACTTTGGGGAGGTGAATAAAGAATGGCCCTAGCAGACTTGATGCAGGGTTTACCTGTTTATTCAATGTTTGGCAAACATAATGGAATGTATTTATTTTAGTCCATTTTTCCCCCACATGTTTCTCAAATTGTGTTTCATGCCTTCTTTTGTGAGAAATTTTAAAATTTCATTTTTATTTTAATTGTCCTTAAAATAGATATAAGCATGATTAAAGTATTCTTTTAAATCAGCTACTAAGGAGTGGTAAGGGAAGAAAATATTAGTTTTTTTTAATCTATAAAAGGAAAGAAGTTATGCTTCACTATATTTATTATATATACTTAAAGTAGCAAATATGTATGATGTACAAATTAGTAGGTATATATGGGTGTGCCCTCATATTTTTTTAACTAACAGGAATGCATGATTTAAAATATGTGGAAACTCTTATATAAATAACTGACACACTGTTTGGATTCAAAGCCAGTTTGAACTTATACAATTTCAGTGCTCACTTTTTCTTTTGGTTTTGTGTTGAGAGAAGGCCATATTGCCATATGTTTTGTTGTGTGATGTAGGTTTTGCAGGGCCTTGAATAGAGTGAGAGTTGAGTCATCACACATGGTCGTATAGGATTGCCAGACTGTAAGAATATCATATTCTTGTATCGATTGGATATATTTGAGGGATTTTGTCTCAGTTTTAATAGGATACAAAGCAGATTGCTGTTGTTATATGAATATAGTAGTATATCTTTAGTGTAGATTTATTTTCTTTGGTTTTGATTCCAGCAGTGATTGATCTGATACCCACTCAGTGAAGACTTAAAAAAACTGCTGTGAGGGCGCCTGGGTGGCGCAGTCGGTTAAGCGTCCGACTTCAGCCAGGTCACGATCTCGCGGTCCGTGAGTTCGAGCCCCGCGTCGGGCTCTGGGCTGATGGCTCAGAGCCTGGAGCCTGTTTCCGATTCTGTGTCTCCCTCTCTCTGCCCCTCCCCCGTTCATGCTCTGTCTCTCTCTGTCCCAAAAAAAAAAAATAAAAAAAAAAAACTGCTGTGATACTAACCTGATATTCAAGTGACAAAGACACTTTAAGGAGTCAGCAAGTTAGATAACTGCTGTTTGGAGAATGTTTATTGGCAAAGTCTTAAGATCGGATTATCCTGAACAGTCAAGTAACATAACAGGAATTTATGAATCACATTTTGTACAGCATACTTTTGTGAACATTTTCTGTATTACTGAGTTACATTGTAGTGTAGATATCAAAATGCAGAAAAAAGAAAAGAAATATAGGACCAGACCTGATGTTATCTCTTTTTCCTGTGAAATACAATAGCAGACATTCAGTTTTAGCAAAATAACATCATCCTTCAAATGGAGTTAATGTTTTTAGAGTATTATTAGTTTGGTAGTTTTTTTTAAATATGATTTATAATTTTGTATTTGTTCATAGTTTTATAAGAACTATAAGCCTAAGCAGTTTGCTTTCACTTCTATATTTTAGTATTATTATACAAATAATTTAACACTTGGACCAAGTGAGAATTTTTTTTTCTTCAGAAAAGCGTTCTGAACCTTTCTTAAGTTTTAGAAATAGTGAATTAGAATATGTGGTGTGACTTCTACATCTTTGAAATACAGTCTGTTTCCAGTCCTGTTTTTTTTTTCAGTGATTATCCACAAATAAAATGATTTTTTAAATGACATTGATTATGTTAAATGACATTGATTATGATGCTGTTATATTGAGGCTCAGAATTGTCTGTAGGAAAAATGTTGATTGAATTTATCATTTTAAGCTGAAATTACTACTTTTTGACATTGACATTTATAGATATTTAATAATCATTTCATTTCATAGAGCAAAATTAACCATAAGTCAAATGGCCTAAAGTAGTACTCCTATATTGAGATTTGGAAGTCAGTTCAGTCTTATTTAATGATGGCTTATAACAAAAAAGATGATTGATAATAACTTAATGTAAGTTTGTCATCTTAAATTATGAAAAAAGAAAAGATCTATTTTTCCATTTTAAGAGGAGTAACTTTCACAATTCTGCAAGCATGAATCAGTAACAGCTGAAGATCTGATCTTTGAATGCGGTAGGGCTGGAACCCTTTCAAAATAGAAATCTAGCCAATTTTCAAGAAAAATCACAATGTTTCAGTTTTGAACTTTAATGTATTTGGAACATATGCAGCAGAACACTTTCTTCTTGCTGTCTCCTGCCAAACTAATTATGTATGCCACATTTAATTTTCCCCTTATGTTTGGGAAGCTCAGTATATGGTAGAATAAAGAATTGCCTGATTCATGTTCACCACTTTTAATGGTAAGATCAAGATGAGAAGTATTTAAGATAAATTTTATAATCTTCTCTCAAAGAAAATATATGCAAAAATGAAAATGTTTCATTCACTCAGCAGATATTTATTGAATACTTACTATATGCCAGGCTCTTTTACTATGCTTGGGTGTGAGTGATACAGTTGTGAACAGGACAGATAAAGCCCCTGTCCTCAGAGAGCTTATATTCCACTAGAGGTGGTGGGGGGAGATGATGAGGATTTCAAATTCATAAATGACCTATAGAAAATAAACACCTAATAAGAATGGGGTAGCTTAGCTGAGATTGGAATGATAGGAAGATCTGGGAGAAGTCTAAATGTAGTTCGTCAGTAAGTAGCCCCTAAAGTAGGAAGGGCCTGGCGTATTCCTGGAACAGAAAGGCCAGGGGGGAAGGAGCATAGTGCATGTGGATGCTAGGAGCTGCAGTTAGAAAGGTATGCAGAAGCCACATTAAGAAAGCCTTTAGACCATGAAAGGAATTTCAGTTTTCCTTTAATTATAATGAGTCTTTAGAGGATTTTAAATGGGAAAATTTGATGGTTTGACTTACTTAGTTTAATGATTTGACTTATTTAAGAAAGATCAGTCTGGTAGTTATAAGGAGGATGACTTGTAAGATTAGGGCAAAACTGGAAGCAGGAAGCCAGATAGCGAACTATTTCAGTATCTAGTTAAGAGATGGTGTCTGGTATTATGGAGATGGAGTGGAGCCAGTGAACAATGATTGGCCTGGGGGTGTGTTCTGTGGCACACTGATCGCACTTGCATGTTTCCATTCTTAAGCATTTAAGATTCTGAAAGTTAAATTTTTGGAGTATCGTAGCTTAATGTGGACTCTATAAGTCTTAAGAATGTCAAATATTTCTAAAATTTTATTTTACTTTTTTTTAATGTTTATTTATTTTTGAGAGAAAGAGAGAGAGCAAGCAGGGGAAGGGCAGAGAGAGGGAGACAGAAAATCCAAGTAGGTGCTATGCTGTTAGAGCAGAGCCCAATGCGGGGCTTGAACCCACGGACCATGAGATCATGACCTGAGCTGAAGTCAGACGCCTAACCAACTGAGCCACCCAGGTGCCCCAAATATTACTAAAAATTTTAAAAATATTTGGGGAGGATAGTGTAGCTCTTTCAGCTTCCCTTTGCTCTATGGCATAAAACTTAAGTTAGTAATTTCAGGTTCTGTGGATAAGTTCATGCCAGATTGTTCTAAATTCCCTTCTTTAAAGTTTATACTACATAAGGATATGAAAACAATTACAAATTTCTTTTAAAAAATGTACTCAATAATTATTTTTGTTATTTTTAATGAAAAGAATGAACATAATTGCCTCATGATATAAATAAAATGTATCTGCTTTTAACTTTTTGGTTTTATTTAAGTAGCATATTTCCTGGAATTTTTTTTTTCCTAGTCACATTGTTCTGATGCTTGCAGACGATATGGCATGCAACCCTAGAAATCCCAAACCAGCTACAGTGTTTAGTCACAAGAATATGGAACTAAATGTGTATGGAGATGATGTGGAAGTAGATTATAGAAGTTATGAGGTAACGTTGTTTAATTTAGCAACATTTTTGAAATGTAGATATCATTACTTTGAAGCTCTAAAATAGCGATAGAATAAAATAGTCTTTTTCTTTAAACTTTGTATATAACTGTCACTGAAGCATTGATATAATTCTGTCTCTGCAGTTCATAGGAGTAAAACTAATACAGTATGAACATTTCATATATATATCTGGGATAGGACAACTTTATCTTAGCTTCTATGTTAGTATTTTAGTGAGTTTTCATGTATCAACTTTTTTTTTTACAGTAAATGTATTGTTCATGTTTCATATTTGACCTAAAATATCAAGCTTTGTATTTTTAGTAAACACATTAAATGTGGAAAAATTAGAATGATTAACAAAAAACTCACCCATATTTCCACTAGAGGTAATCACTTTTAATATGCTTCCAGTGTTTTATCCATATATGATTAAAAGTCAAAATGTAAATTTGAAAGATGACATTATACTATAATTTTTTCCCTTTGAAACTTCATTTTAAATTTAATAGGTAGTGAATATGTTTAAGATTTGAAGTCTGCTTTGATGAAGTCTTACTCACTAATCCTTCCCCTTTTACCAAGCCTACCAAAAGTAAGACACAATTTTTGGTGTCTCCAGACCTGTTTGAAGCAATTTTAAAATATCAACTCTATCTCCTGCCAGCCTGTAAGCTCTTTGAAGCCATGGCCTGTTTGTGTATCTTATACCTAGCCAGTACTTATAGCCCTTTGAAGGCACTCCGGAATATTTGTTCAGTGATTAAATGTGCATGAATATTCGACTTTTTACTTGTTTATTTAGTCATCATAAAATATAAACCAAAAATTTCCCTTCCTTGTTAGCCAACAAGAACTCTTATTAAAACATTTAGCATTTTGCTCTCTTCTGGGAAAAATGTAAACCAAACATTATATACACATACATATACATACACACATGAACACACATACATACACATATACATTTACATACTCATGATCTAAGGAAAGGTCAAACAAGAAAGTTGGATAGAATTTCTGCTTTTTAAATTTAGATCTGTGTAAGATAACTTCAGATATGCTTTCAAAGAATCCTAGAGATCCACACATTTCAGGTTAGGAAATCTGGCTTAAAGTGTGATGAATTTTTTACATGTTAAAGTTACCCCTAACATAATTAAAGTAACAAAATGCATTAAAAAATCAAAGATACCTAATTTAGGGATTATTTATGGAACTATCATTATGGCTTTATTTTTATGATTCATTATGGACCTATCTTTCGAATTTTATCTAGAATTCACCAGGTAGTTGTACAGATTAACTGCAGTAGTTATAATGTTGTTAGATTTATTTACAAGTTTCTATATTTTGTATCTTCCCAAAGAATTGCCTTTGAAAAAAGATAAATAATTTTTAAGTTTTTGGGCAATATTTTGCATAGCATTTAAAGTTTTAAATTTAATTAACTGATTTTTCCTCAAGGTAGTTTTGTTAGCTGTTAGTATTTAATGGAAGCAAGTTAATTTTGAGGTATATATTTAAGGTATATATTTAATTGTGTTATATTTCTTTTTGTGTTTTATTTTCAGTTTATGCCGAGTAATGCATAGAGAAAGAAAGAGGAATGTTTTTGAAAACTAAAAAAAATTATCACGTTTCCCTGAGTTCTATTTCATTTGATTTCTTCTT